TAATTGGAAACGGCAATGTCGATTTCAGCGCTAATCCCCTCATCGGGGAGGAGTACAGAAATCGGTTTTAAGAGCCCTTTATGTCGAAAAAAATGGCTTCATTGTGTGGATGGGTGTAGGGTTCATTCAATTTAATGCTGCTAAATTCGACATAAACTCATAGTGTAGACCAGGCCTTAAAGTTGTAAACTGCTGGTTTGTTTCTTGCTGTGATTTTAAATTGACCCTTGTACAAAGACTCTGGCTGATAGTCTAGTCAACTTTGTGTACTTCTGAGTGCACCGGAGGAATTAAAAACCCTGGGATTTGCCTGTCTACTTATGAAGTGGGCAGCTTTCAAAATTCCCCACAGATGTTGCGTGGGCATGCACAGCCCCCACCCACCTATTTTAAAAGAACATTAAAGTTACAAAGCCAACTATTTCACAGGTAAGAAATGCCAGAATTAATATTGTGTGTGTAATCTTAGTTCAGCCCCCTGTGCATTATGATACAGTCTTTAATTATATGATCACATGGTTTTTTTCCCACAGGACCTCTGATATGTACAGCAGCTCTGGAGGTGCTTTTTTTTTTGACTGATATGCCTGGCACATATAGGTAGCAGCAAAGTCATTAACTCACAGATAAGTTCTGTACCATTAGCTGGACAGGCTGTGGTTTACGATGCTACTATCTCTTAGCTCCCTAGAACAAATTAACAAAACATTCTCCTGTATTCTGGATTATGATCAAAACCAAGTCAGAGGGAGAGTGATAACTGTAGTAAAATATTCTTTGCAGTGTTGTTGTAGCCATGTTGGTCCCAGGATATGAGAGTGACAAGGTGGGTGAGGTCGTATCTTTTATTGGTCCAATTTCTGTGAAAGAGACAGAGACCAGGCTTTCGAGCTACAAGAGCAAAAACAAACTGGTGTGTGAAATACAAGTTTATGACCTTGCTATATGATCAGGCAAAATGGAGAAGCTGGGCTGTGTAGGAAAAAGTTATTCTTCAACCCCAGCAAGGAAACAGGCTAGAAACTGCAGGCAAAGTAAATTCATTTTCCTTTCCTCAAGTTTTTCCCCAGTGTGAAAGTGCCTCTTTGCACAGTACATGTAACGCCAGATTTGGCTACTGTTAGTCTCATTGAGTGGTATCTTACTCTACTAAAAGCCACAGTGAAATAAAGTCTTTGCTTATAAATAAGGCAGTCTCAGAAAAATAGTATATGTAAGATACACAGAGCCATGAAAGGCAGTATTGTTTTGCAGATTTTAGTAGTGGATCTTGAAGCACTTGACAAGCGGTATTTAAGCCTTGTGACACATCTGTGGGTAAGGCCATTCCGTTTTACAGAGGAGGAAACAGAGCCATGGTGTCTTATCCTTGCATTGAATTAATGACCAGGCTTGGGAGTAGAGTCCATGTGTTTCTTGTAGCCCTAAGGCACAACTCCTGCTGGCAGGCATTGTACGGAGCTCTGTCAGCTGGGCTTCCAGACGGTCAGGGCTAGAACGTGCCTATTAGCCATAGCTCTGTCTTGAGCAGAGCGTGGAGCCACACCACACCAGAGGGGGCATGGAGGAGCCTGCCTCAGAGGCCATTTCTCCTGGAGTTTGTGGATGCACTGTGGGAGTGCATCCCATACTACACCCCTCTCCATCCCTGAGGCTGGCGAGGGTGGTAGGGACCTGACTCTGCCCCCTCCTGGCCCCATTTGTGCACCTTCAGGATTATTCAGGCAGTCCATGGAAGTTGAGGGGAAGGCTCCATGCACCCTTCCCAACACTGCTGAGCACCTGCTGAAGGCCAAGCAGAGTTTGGCCCTCAGTGAGCAACCTCCTCCCCTCTACACTTCCCTAGGGGAGCTGGCACAGGCAAGAGAGAGACTATACTTACTGGCAACATGGATGCCCTAGGGAGTCTAAGGAAGTCCTGCATACTCTTAAGGCACCTGCTGGATGACACCAGAAGTGGAGCTGAGCCACAAATGGAAAAGCCTAGCATCTTTGCACCCCCTCTCCAGCAGGAATAAATAACTAGGAGGGCACATGCAGAGCAGCTGGCTTGGCAATTAGACAGCTCCAAACATAAGGAGAGGGGGTGCAGAGACAGTAGGCTTTTCCATTTGTGGCTCAGCTCCATTTCTGTTGTCATCCAGCAGATGCCTTAAGAGTATCCAGGACTTCCTTAGATTCCCTAGGGCAATATTGAATTCTGGAGAGTTATCTGATGGGAATTGCAAAAGCACCAAAGGGAGTTAGGAGCACAAGTCATATTGAAAATCAATTAACTCCCTCAGGTGCTTTTGAAAATCTCATCTGTAATGTCCGTCCCTCACTGAGCTATTCCCTGTTATAGGGACCTCTCCTTTAATAATACTGATATTAAACCTTGTGCCAGAGAGAATAGTACTTCCACGTCCTGTTCCTGGTAGAAGTGCTTATTTTCTGACAGTGGGAGAAAGATTTAGTCTTTGTCTTCACAAGGCAAGGATAATTCTGCCCCAAATCTTCCATCCAACAAAACTACCACTGTTGGCAAATAGTAATAAACATGGTCTGGTTTTGCATGGCTCTGGAGTCTGAAAGACAGGAATCTAGAACAAGTGTCTCTACCACATTGCTGCACTAGGCTATTGTGGTGGCAATGGAGAATTAAACAGGAATAGAGAATAACTACTGAAAAGAGAAATCCCTAGTGAAATTCCATTGATTTACATGGCTCCCAGGAGACTGTGGTGATGTTGAAGAAGAGCCTGTTTTGTAGAATCTAGAGCTGAACCCTGAATGCTTCACTCAGGACTTGATGCTGCCACCTGCACTCATGGTAATTAGTACATTACTCTCTGACTAACCCCTTTGTAATCAGTGGGACTATTCAACATAAGGGTACGAATTCCCTCCCCCTGGCCCAGTTTTTATTCAGTCCTTAATTGGGCAAAACTCTCATTTAAGAGCGTACTAAGGACTTCAGGATTTGGCCTGTAGGACTAATAGAAAGGAAAAACCTATAAGGACAGCCAGTTGTGTCTAGTGCGTTGGACACAATAGTCAAGAACAGTACATCCATATGTAGAAATGGCTCCTGCAATGCTACCAGGGTCACTAAGCTTTGATTTGCTGGGTAAATGCCAGCTGTACACAGTGAAGTTCCATCAGGGAACACCTTCATTTAGACTCCCAATTTTTTCTAGTACTTCACTGAAAGCAAAAGAGGAACACAAGCAGCTGAAGCACCTGACCTATTCTCAAAGGGCTGGGAGTTTTCACGGACTTCAGTGGAATTTGGATCAGGCCTTAACCCAGTCGCAATGCAGCAAGTCAGAAAGGGTAGAACAAACAGCTGTCACTCTGTTGCCTCAACATCCGCCAGATCCAATAACTAGATCTCCATCGGTCATTTGATACGGCAGAAATAAACCAGCTGTAACAGAATAATATTTTTACAGAATCATTATCTCGCTCTGAAACTGTGTCTGCTTGTGTGCCTTGGCAATTTCTATAAATGCCCCAGCACTTATATTTATAGCGCCAGGAGGTTGAGGAGCTTAGTTACAAGGGGGAGAAACATCTCCATAATTTCTAATACAGACCATTCATCTGTGACAATATTCTAGTCTGTTGACATTATCTTCTCTGCTGGTGTTTTCAAAGGGCAGTGTCTGTTGGTAATGCAGTGGGAGGAAGGTATTGCCTGGTAATCCGAGATAAATGGGAGCCAGGAGTTCGAATTTCTAATCCTAGCTCTGACACTGGCTTTGAGCAAGTCACTTAACTTCTCTGTTTCCTCATTTGTGAAATGAGGATAGTACCCTTCACAGGTGTGTTATGAGAATTAATTAGTTAAGATTTGTAAAGCATGTAAATGACTGGTATTGGGTAGATGCTAAATATTATTACTGTGCTGCCAATGTAAATCTATGCCTGCTGAAGAAACTGCCTCATCCGAGTATTTGTCTACTTTTTAACCATTTTTTTCTGAGAGAGATCTTTAATAATCACCAGGAATCCTGCCACTGTGAACCCTCCACTTTAATGAGTATTTCCTGAAGTCCCAGGCCCAAATTCTGGTCTGTAACATTGGTGTATATCCAAAGCAATATTCTATTGCAGTCAATAGAATTGACTATTCTATTCAATATTCTATTGCGGTCAATAGAATTATTCTTGATTTACACCAGTGTAACGGAGCAGAATTTGGCTCTTCTCTTCCTTTCGTGGAACTCTATTATAATGATCACTGAGCATCAAATGTGAGTTTAAGGGGTACTTCATGTTAAAGCCAGCTTTCACCATCTGTTGTGCTTCTCCCTTGTCTTTGTCATTCTGTTGCACCTCGTGAAGTATAAAATTTGTCTGGCAAAGCATGAGAAGCAGTGGATTGACTGTAATAATGCGGGAGCCTTCTCCTGCCTTCCCTACCCAGGGGGAAGGTCAGCAATAAACAGAGAGGGCCCAAGGATCAGACTGCACTGGGAGACCAAACCAAATCAAATCTCTGAGAGAACTGGCCATAATGAATACAAACAATATATGAAGCTCAAGCTCCTCTACTAAGACGAAGCCTAAGGCTGTTTGGCTTCTCCCAGGAAGCAAAGCTTTCATTTGGCTGTGACATATTAGCTGCTAAAATAGACTTTTTCTCCTCAGTAATCAGAAACCTGACCCAGGATTGTTGTTTTCTTCCTCCAATGAAGCCAAGCAATAATTCTCAGGAAAATAATTCCTAGTACTGAGGTCTGTTAGCCCAGGGAATAACCTAAGAGAAGTGGTTCAAGCGCCATCACTGGAATCAGTCAAACTGTACAGAACCTGCAGGAATTTATCACGGGGACCAGTTCTGCACTGGAAAAGATGGGCTAAAAGGTCTTTTCCACCTCCGTTATCACTGATTCTAGGAAATATTTTAGGTGTCTTTACTCCCTGCCCCTCGCGCCTCCCCCAATTATTGTCATTATTTTTCTTGTTAATGTGCTCAATAAATCCATCATCCCCATTTGGTTTGTGTCTTTTAGAGATGTCCAGGGGGGATGTGTCCTTTCCTGCACCGCGTGTGCTGGGCAGCGCTGCCGCTGCAGATACTCCTGCTGTTCTTGCTGCTCCTGGCGTTTCTGCTCCCCCTAGTGGAGGAGACCCACAGCTGCAAGCTTGCCAACAACTTTGCCCGCTCCTTCAACTTGATGCTGAGATATGAAGGCCCTCCTCCAACTTAACTCCTCTACAGGCACGTGGCGAGAAGTGACTGGCTTAGACATCCAGGCTGCTTTTTCCTAGGTGTCTTGACTATTGCTAATCCTCTAAATCTAGGGCTTCTAACATGGCCACCAGATTAACTGGAAACATCAACAAATAAATGCCGTATAAGGTTAGTCCATATAAATCAGGTATTAACAGTTAGAGCTAAATTAATATTTTTACAATATTATATGAATATATTTATACTATGAGTGTGTGTGTATATATATATATATATTGTGTGTATATAACTATAATGAAAAACATCTAAACTCCACTGTTTTGCTCTAATCCTGCAATATTTTTGCTTCTGCCTTTGTTCAGCAACGAATAGCAGATATTTTAAAAAACTGAGTTCTTGGTGTTTACAACTGAAATCAAAGTGAGTGTGAGAAAATAAGGGATGTTCTGTGGAATCATGTGCCAGGAAAAATTGTCTCTGAGAGTGAGATGCAATGGAATCATGTTTAAATACGCTGTTTAACATTAGGCTTTAGCAAAAGGGGAAGTTTCTATTTGGGATTAGTAGCTAGTTTTTCTATTGCTTGATCCAGTCACCACTGTTGTCAATGCAAAAATTTCCATTGACATGGGTGTGAGACCAGGCCCACAGTATATTCAAATGCTCTTTGTGACAGTCTACCAACTTTTTCTAATGCTTTGTCTTCTGTCACTCCTGAAGTCAGAGAGGTAAAATCAGGCAAGGAAAGCTGAAAATAATGGGGCATTTTTCTAAACCTCACTCTAAACCAAATTGTAATTTTTATTTTATTTTGTGCAGCTACAGTATACAAAGCTCTGTGTAGCAGTGAGCTGTGCAAAAGAGAAAAATATGATCTTGTCCCCCCCCCTTTTAAACTATGAAGATCATCCACACGAATGGTTTTGGCACAGAAATTGCTCTGGGATGGACCACATGATCTGGACAATGCGATGTAGCTTGTCTCAGCATCAGCATACAAACTGGCCAAAGCACAGAAATACATTAACAAATGCAGTCAGTAGACATGATTCCTTCCTAGCCGGCATTATGTCAGTGGTTTGCTAACAAAACGTGACATGGTGTAATTGCATCAAGCACAATTGTACTACAAGTTTTTAAAAAGGCTGAGGTCTGGGACACTGAGGATTGTCATCCTTTTACCTAGCCTCGGGCCTGTTTTCATCAGCTCTTCTTTTTTAACAGGAATGTCTGCGCTCAATATGCTTTTTAATGGAAGTGCAGTTCACAGTGTTATTATGAGGAAACAACCATTTCATGGTGGTGTTTTACCTAATGGGAGCCTGCGTCTTGTCCAAAGGCGGGAAAGGGGATTGTTTCAAATACTTTGCGGCACTTCTTTGGTTCGCCCCCATTTTTCCTGTTCATTTTTATCCTCAGAGGCATAGTCATCGGACTGTCAGTCAAAAAATCTGAGCTAGTTTCCCCTGGCCTGGCGATTTCTTCGGATGAAATTTGAATTCTAGGTAGTGGCAACTGACTTTTTGTCTCTCTCCAAACAGAATTGTACCAATTCTATAGTGGGTACGCACTACTGTAGACTTGTAGGTGGGACTCACTTTTTTTTGTACCATAAAACCTACAAGAGGTTCATTACATCCTGCCATATTCTACTCTGCATACAAAACACCAATCCCCTATCGTAATACATGGGACTTCTGTGCCAAAATAAAAGGTAGAATATGGCCCATCGTTACATATGTTACATTATTGGAAGTAAATTATGTACTAACTACAGACCCAATTCCATTAAGTATAATGGTAATTACATGGAACATAAGAAAGGCCATACTGGGTTAGACCAAAGGTCCATCTGGCCTAGTATCCTGTCTTCCGACAGTGGCCAACGCCAGGTGCCCCAGAGGGAATGAACAGAACGGGTCATCGTCAAGTGATCCATCCCCTGTCACCCATTCGCAGCTTCTGGCAAACAGAGGCTAGGGATACCATCGGCCCCTCCTGGCTAATAGCTATTAATGGACCTATCCTCCATGAATTTACGTAGTTCTTTTTTGAACCCTGTTATAGTCTTGGCCTTCACAACATCTTCTGGCAAAGAGTTCCACAGGTTGACTGTCTGTTGTGTGCTACCTCTGCCTACTATGTCAATAATTATGAAGAGCTGAAACAACAAAGTTTAGATCTGAGATTCCCCCAAAGTCTTTTTTTTTTTAAATTGATAAAGAGAGGAAATGAGGGAAGAGAGGACAGGGTAGCATAGGAGGGAGAAGATATTGAGGAGTTCTGAATAGAAGGGAATAGGCAGCAGTGGGGGGAGAGAGGTAAGAAGGTAGGTGCAGATAGAGAAGAGAGGTGGAAGAAGAAAGAATAGGGTCTGAAAAAGGAAGGCACGAACAGTAAGAATATAGAATGTAAAGAACAATCTCTATTAGGGTCCATCTAGTCCAGTGGTCTTCAATCTTTTTTCATTTGCAGACCCCTAAAAATCTTTGAATGGAGGTGCAGTCCCATTTGGAAATCTTAGACATAGTCTGTAGACCCCAAGGAGTCCACGGACCACAGTTTGAAAGCCAATGTCCTATGGCAACAGCAACCTTTCGTGGACCCCTTAGACATAGTCTGCGGATCCCCAGTGGTCCATGGACCACATGTTGAAAATCACTGATCTAGTCCATCTCTATGCCTATGCAGGATTATTTCCCATTGTACATTGTCCAGTCTAATTTCAAATGTCCATGTGGTGGGGCCTCTACCTTTTCTCTGAGGAGACCATTCCCCTGCAGAGAGCTCTCACTGTCAGGGAGGTCTTATCTACACAATCATTTTTCTTCATGCTTCCTGCAGTTGCAGTGACACCAGGATCAGCAAAGGTGGGAGTTCTAATACAGTGAGAATACTGGTGTTCTAACAAACATGTTGTCTAACCTCCTCAGAGCAGGTGGAGAGGACAAGGTGGTCAAATGGCTAGCTGCTGCTCATGGCCCACCTACACTGGAGTGAGATCATTGCTAGAACTGGTCAAAATGTTTTAAATTTAGGAATTCTGATGAAAAATGGCATTGAAATTTTGAAAATCAGCTCCAAAAAAAAAAGGAAACAGTTATTTTTGTACATTTTTCAGTCAACTAGGAAATTAGAAGGAAAAATGCATGAGTAGGCAGAGCCAGAGGGGAGAAATGCAGCAGAAGGAGGAGCAGAGGAGGATCTGAAGCAATGTCAATTAAAATCTGGCAGTTAAGAGCTAGGAGAAGAGAGAGGAGACAGGTGACTTAAAGCAGAAAGGTGACAAGAAGAGGAAATTGTGAAAGACAAATAAGGGGTTTAAATATAAACAGGAAGGAAAGAAAGGCATCAAGCTGTGTCCTCCTTCGCAAAGGAGACAGGTGGAAAGGAACTATAATTCACAAGTGATGCAGCAAATGAATTCCTTCTTTGCAACTGTTATTTCCAGCAGAAGAGAGAGACACATCCACCTCTCCCCCAGTTAGCTGGTTCAAGAGCCATGCAAATTCTGCTCTGTGCAGCAAGGATTTAATCATCTAAGCTCTGAACCATGTGCATCTCCCACCTCCATTTCAAACCATTTCAATGTGTACAAAGAACCAGAAGGGGGATGGGGCAGGATAGAGATATAACAGTGTTTGTAGCATAGCCACTTTCTGCTTCTTTGAGGGGTGTTGTGGTCAGGAAATTAAATAAAACAGGATGAAAGGCAGGAGAGAAAAAGAATTATAACAAGTGGGAAAAGTTAGTTAAGGTGAAGATCAAGGAGGAAACGGTCAGGTTTTTTGCATGAAAATTACAGAATCTCCCAAGAGTTTCTGGGCACCGGCCTTTCTTGTCTGGATTGTTTTTGAGTTCAGCAGTGGATCTTACAAGCATTGGCAATACAAATGTAGGGGACATTAAAGAAATTATTTCCATGCAAAGGGTCTTACGAAAATAAATTCCATGTCACCTTAAAGTTTCAATGTTGGGGCAGGTTTAAAAAAAATCTAAATTAGAACCACACTTTTGCCACTGGGGTTTTGCATTTAATTTATTCTTTAACATCTCTGCTGTAAATCTTGGAGTTTTTCTGTAAACAAACTAAGCAATACAAATATCTTATAGCAGAGGTGAATCTTTCCCTGTTTTTCATGGAAATCAGCTCAAACATTAGGCTCAGATTTCTCTCTTACACCAGTTTTATGCTGGAGTAACTTCATTTATCTCAGTGGAGTTACTCCCAGTTTACATTGGTGTAAGAAAAATGTAAATCAGGTCCTTTGTGGTGTGAGGGTGGGTTGGTGGGGGGGGGGGGGCTCAAAGAGAAAAAAATCCAATCTTCCCTCATTTCTTAATTTAATTGAGAAGATTTTGCCTTACTGATTTTTTGGAGCGTAACTGCTATTACGATGTGAAGCTCAAATAATGGTAGAGGAAAGCGGATTCAATTCTCCCCCTCACAGGACTTTGTTGGTTTCCTGTGTGAAGGAAATAGGCCCCAATATCTATAAAATGCATCCTAAGGAACAAAGTTTCAAGAGCAGTCTCATAAACTTTAGGTACAGATTTCTGTCTACATTTTTGCACACCATTTTTCTTGTCCTAACTTTTATAAACTCTTAGATCATTTCTGACTAGAGCAGGGTAAAACTTTTTGACTGATACTTTCTCATAAATGTCTGTTGGATTCACTTAATTTTTTCAGTAGAAAATAACAAACAAAAATTCTGAAAAAGTCAAAATATTTAATTTTGACATTTTGAAATGAAACATTTTGCCATTTTGAATCAAAACAGCTTTTCATTTTGACTTTTACTTCAGTTTTATTTTAAAATATTGAAAGGTTTAAAAAAAAAAAAAAACCTCACGTTACCTGAATATATTTTCTTCAATATGTTTGGTTTGCCAAAAAAGTAAAAAGTTGTGTTTTGGGTAAACCTGAATTTTTTTTGTTTTTGTTTGGCCACTGACCTGAAAAATCAGTTATTCACAGCTCTGTCTGTGACATCTGTCAATCACCTGGATGCTTCACAGTTGGGCTTCAGATTCGGACACAGTATGGAATCAATGCTGGCAGTATACTTAAAATGCCTGGCAATAGCTTCAGGGGGAGTGTACAGAACTGGGCAGTTGGGAGTGATCCACTCATCTTCCCTTCCTGACAGTCAGAAGTTTAGGGTTGCCTTGGGCATGGGGTTGCATCTCTGACCATTTTGGCTAATAGCCATTGATGGACCTATCCTTTATCTCTTTCTTCACTGAACCCAGTTATACTTTTGGCCATCAACATCCCATGGCAATGAGTTCCACAGTTTAACTTGCTATTGTGTGGGAAAAGTACTTTCCCTTGTTTGTATTAAAGCTGATGCCTATTAAAAAAAAATAGATAGATAGAGGCCAAACCTCAGTGCTCGTGCTGCCTGATGGGTTTACAGCTAATCCAGAGTCAGAGTACCTTCAAGGAAAGCTGTAGCCCTTAAATTAAATACATTTGAGCTTGGGAATTATTTGCACATGCAAATCAGACCAGCACCTGACTAGTCAGGCTGCATCCAAATTCACTATGTGTTGACAAGTAAACATTTTTATACTTGCAAAACTGCATGCACCAAAGTTCTTTAGCATACAAGATGTCATCCACTATCTGATGGGCCAAGATGATACCGCTTTGAAACTATGGCTCAACGGGCCAAATTCTGCACTCAGCTGCTCATGCAGGGAAGTTAGTAGGATCTCCACGCACTCCAAGTTCAGACTTCAGCCCCAGCCTTTGGAGAAAAGCCTCAGTCTAATTTGCGAATTGTAATTGATTCTGTAGCCAGACGCTTTCAACAATTTTTTCCATGGCTGCAGTACAGTGAGGTAGAGAATTGCTATTGTGCTGCATACCTATTTATAGAATATTCTCTGATTCCAACCAGCAATTTAGATTGTATTAAATTCTGTTTATATAAGCCTCTCTCCAGTGCTCTTTGTGAGGAAAAAGTATGTTCTAAGAACACACACACAAAAGTAATATTCTCCTGATAACACCAAGATTGCAGAGCTATCATGATCTGTAAGCCACATAATAACTTATTTGCCTGGCTGTTATGTTTACTATAGTCAAGCATTTCTGGCTGAAAATAAAGCAAATAACCTAATTAATAAAACTCATAATTAATCATTATACAGTGATCACTTTGCGTAAATTGCCAGGATCTTAGAATCACTATTCATCTCAGCTTAATCCTTAATCATTGGAGTTGATTGATGTCCTCAGAAGAGAACCAGTTTCTCCAAAAAGTGACTATTGCAGATATCTACATAGTGTGTCTTTAGACAAAATAATTACCAGCTCTGTTATATACTGGTGCTCTGGGATCTCAGGAATTTACTCAGCTTGATCATGTCTAGGACATTAAATACTTTGTACTTGGTGTGTGCATGGAACTTCCATTGGTGTGAAGGAGATTTACAAGAGCACTTCAAGAGGAGATAGGAGTTACACACTCAGTTGTGTAAATAAATTAAAGGGAGCAAAAGGAATTCTGTAAACCAGTGGGTGGCACTGAAAAGTCTTTCTTGCTGCTTGGGAATCATGGGAATTGCCAGATAATAGTTAAGGACTAAATTTAAGTAGCAACAACATTCATTTCATATTCAATATTTATTTTGGCTCAGGTGGAGATATATTTATTTCCACCTTTGAAAAACGTTTAGGTAGTTACTCAGATAAATACACCTTTGACTGAAATCATGCAGTCACATATAATATGTGTTATTATATTGTATTGGCTGTAATAGCTGCTTTTGTAGACTTTACTGTCCATTGGTTTAGTTACTATTCTGCAGCTGAAAACACATTTACCAAGTGAAATGTAAGGGCTCCTTCCAGGGTTGCTGGGGGAAGTCAGGCAAGTTCTTCATAGTTCTCAGATCATTGACCTGCTCTTAGCTCTTACGGTTCACTGTGTTAATCCAGCTGTGGGTGCTTGGCTATTCTCTAAAGTCTGCCTGTTAAAAAAACTGTAGATAACTTTGCACAGACACTGTGAACCATTCAGTAACCAATTTTAACATTTCTACCATATTTAACTGTGATTCAAAAAGTTTGATTATGTCTTGGACTAACCACGCTTATTTATTTGAATCACTGGACTTTTTGAGTTACACAGACATGCCATTTCTTTATTCATTTTGCACTTGTACAATGTTAAAATAAAACAAATCCAAGAACCTAAACAATTAGTTTCCCCAAAATATCAAATATGATTTAATAATCTAGCATGCAGTCTGTTTTATTTGTTTTTAAGTTCTTTGGTTTGTCCAGTTGAAAACCAGACCATGTGTTTGTAGAAGAGTTATCAGCATTCCCTGAAGAATAGGGTTTATCAGGAATATGCCAACACAACTGGTAGCCTAAAGGGCACCACTATAATTACAATACTATTCAAACTAAGCAAACCATTGTTACCTATTTCAGAGGAACAGCCGTGTTAGTCTGTATTCGCAAAAAGAAAAGGAGTACTTGTGGCACCTTAGAGACTAACCAATTTATTTGAGCATGAGCTTTCGTGAGCTACAGCTCACTTCATCAGATGTTTACCGTGGAAACTGCAGCAGACTTTATATACACACAGAGAATATGAAACAATACCTCCTCCCACCCCACTGTCCTGCTGGTAATAGCTTATTACTTATATCCTGCTGGTAATAGCTGGTAAAAGCTATTACCAGCAGGACAGTGGGGTGGGAGGAGGTATTGTTTCATATTCTCTGTGTGTATATAAAGTCTGCTGCAGTTTCCACGGTAAACATCTGATGAAGTGAGCTGTAGCTCACGAAAGCTCATGCTCAAATAAATTGGTTAGTCTCTAAGGTGCCACAAGTCCTCCTTTTCATTGTTACCTAATCTATTTTAGCAATTGACAGGTACTGACCACTGGGGAGGCTGAGCTGTGTTGGAGGAGGTGCAGCACCCCAATGGAGGTGGGAGGAGGGATTATGTCTTCAAAAGACATAATGGTTCCTAGGTGCTGGAACCCAGGAACATAGGAATTACCATTCTGGATCAAATTCGAGGTTGATTTTATCCCATATCCTCTCTCTGGCAGAGGCCAGCACCATGTGCTCCAGAAGTCTCTGCCCAATCCCTAATAATTAGAGAGTGTCTTACATCTTGAAGCATATTTATCACTTTTTATATTTTTATATCACTTCCAAAATTGTTGTTAGTATTAACTGTAATAAATCTTGATATTCTTGTTATCCATACAAATGCCCAGCCCCTCTTTGAATCATGCTGAACTTTTGGCCTCTATAGCATCTAGTGGCAATGAGTGCCAAAGTCTCACTACATGTTATGTGAAAAGGTATTTGCTTTTTTCAGTTTTGAATACGACAAATTTCGTTTTCATTGACTGTCCCTTGTTCTTGTGTTACATGAGCAGGAGAACAAAAGCGTTCAATCTCCGTTCTCTGGACTGTTTGTTGTTTTTCTTTTTATTATGTCCCCTCTGATTTGTCTCCTTCCTAAGGTGAACATTCCCAGTCTTTTCAGTGTATCTTGACATGTGAGTTTTTCCATGCCCTTGGTCATTCTCATCATCTCCCTTCTCTGAACTCTCTCTAATGTTAATTCTTCACCCACTGGAATAGCTAAAATCTGACCTTTCCTTCCTGGCCTGATAACTTCTCAGTGACCTGGCCATCTCTTGCCTTGTTTACTGCAACCTTCTCCTGTCTGCCCTCCTCTGCTCCCATAACTGTCCCCTCCAGTCAGTCCACAGTGCAGTTGTTAAACTTGTCTTTTTCGCCTACCAGTAGCTCCCACCCACTCTTTGGATATCTCCTGCCGTGCATTGTTTCAATAGCTCCTCCTCACCTACACATCCTGTACAACTGTGCCCAAGGCTACATCTCCGATCTAGTTTCTTAACCCCTTCACAGCCTATCCCTGTGTCAACAATCCCTGCCTCACTGACCTCTTTATTACTGACTCACTCCTTCTCCCTGCCTATTTTCATGCCACCCCATGCGTGAAATAGCCTCCCAACCCCAAAGTACTCTGCTCCCCCTTTCCTCATTCAGCTTCCTCCTACAGACCCACTTCTGCTACAAGCCCCTCAAACATCACCCATGTTAGAATTTTATTCTGATACATTTTTAAGTTATTCTGATCTCAATGAACGATCTTCTCTGGATCTCCCGGGGCATCTTGCCCTCTCTCTAATCTGCCTTTCACACTGGAGCACTTGTGTCTTATACAGATCAGAGTGTTTTTGGCAGCGCTTAACTAATAATAATAGCCATCACGCCGTTTGTATTACAAATA